CTGACTTTATAGAAATTGTTTTTGTTCTATGGATGTTGTTGAAGGAACAGTTCCCCTTTGCAGAGTTAAGAGAGGTAAGGCTCAACCATCCCCATGTTGCCTACACTTTTAAAAACATTAAAAAAAAAAGGGAGATTTATTGGAAAGTTCTGTATCATAGGGATGGACCTTGTCTCTTGAAAGGATATGTGGAGTGGAGGAGAGGCCACGTATACTCTTTTTAGGCAGGAACACATCCAGGGCTACATCTGACTGCTGAAACACCTTGACTGGCATTTCATCCATTCCTGAGCTTTACTTTTTGCCAATGCCTTCAAGTGCAGCCTGAACGTCTTCCTTTAGTACCAATGGTTTTTGATCATAAACTACTTCCTACAACTACTTCATGTTAACCAATTCTTCTTTGGCACAGTGACTGTATTTCCCCCTAGACTCCTTCAGAATTGCACCTCAAGTCTAAATTCTCTCAAGTTTTTTTCAGTTTGAAGAGCAGCCCATGTGTCCTCCCCTTTTGATTTTCTAACTCCAGGTCTCTGCACACTAGGTTATAATATTCTGTCTTCTCAAGATGCCCCCTGGAATTTGCTCAGTTCTCTTCTTTAGCATTCCTTCCTTTTGCTCTAACTTCTCTATATTTTACAGCAAGTTTCAGAGTCTCTGCTGACATCCATTTTTTGTTTTTCCTTTCTTGTTCCCCCTTTCTTAATCTCTAATATTATTTGTTATTTGAGGATTTTTTTTCTTATTATTTGAGTAAAGGTTTACAAATCATGTTCTTTCTTGCCAGTCTTTTTAATGATGTCGTTGGTATGAACCCACTTAATTCTGGTCTTCAGTCATTAGTATTCAAAACATCAAATCTACTCTTGAGATGGGCATTTTAATTCTAGTGGGATAGGTTTATTTTGGCTCCCGTAGACTCGTTTTTCTTCAGCTTCAGGCTGAATCGGCATATGAGCAGGTTTGTTCCACAGTCAACTCCTGGCTTTGTCCAAAAACCTGGACTATATGAGGAATGCATCAGGACTAGAGCAAGTCTCATTAGCAACCTGCCACAGGCAGGAACACAAACGTGTTTGCCAAAAGTGAAGAGGACTTGCAGCACTTACTGAAAAAGACCAAAGATTATACAGCCTTTAGAAGGATTATACTTCAACATAAAAAACCCCAAAATCCTTGTAACTAGACCAATAAACATCATAATAAATGGAGAACTTCTAAGACTTCATTTTACTTATATACATAATCAACATCCAGGAACACAAGAGTTCAGAAATCACAATGTCGTACATTGGGCCAATCTTACACCAAGGGTCTTTTAAAAGTGCTAAGGAACAAGGATGCGACTGTAAAGATTAAGATGGGTTTGATCTAAGCCACAGAATTTTCAGCTGCTTTACATGCACGTGAAAGTTGGACAATGAATCAGGAAGACCAAAGAAATAATGCCTCTGAACTGTGGAGCTGACAGTCAAAGAACAAACAAATCTGTGTTAGATGTGCAGCCAGAGTGCATTTTAGAAGCAAAAACTGTAAGACTTTGTCTCTCACATACTTTGATGAACATCTTATCAGGAGAAGTCAGTCCTTGGAAGGGCTATCATGCTTGGAAAGGTGGAAGGTCCATGAAGGAGAAGCCGATCTTCAATGATGGGCCTAACGCACGGTGGAGATTGTGAGGATGGTGTAGGCTCTGGCAAGTTTCGGTATGTTAAATACAGTGCGGCTGTGAGCTTGAATCGGTGCCTAAACCCAAGCTGTAACCCCCTAATTCTCCCTATCCTCCTCTCACTACTACGAAATTTTGTTTCTATGCAAGTGCCTATTCTAGATATTTTATGGAAATGGAATCATACACTGCCATTCTGTGTCTTATTTCACTCAACTAATGTTTTCAAAGGGGATATCCATGCATCAGAACGTCACTTTTCTGGATGGCTATATAACTTCATTGCATGTACATTTTATTTAGGGACTTCTGGTAGCTTAATGGTAAGGAGTCATGCTGCCAACCCAGAAATAGTGGTTTTAACTCACCAGCACCTCCACGAAGAAAGACAGGCAATCTCCTCCCGGGCGATTTACGGCTTTGAAAACCCACTGGAGGGTCAGTGATGAGCTGGTTCCAACTCAATGGTCCATACCACCACCACCACCACAGTTTACCACTCATCTGATGACAGACACTTGGGTTTTTCCTACCTTTTGGCTACTGTGGAATGCTGCTGATAAACTTTTGTTTAGTTCATTCCCTCCCTTTGCATAGCAGCTGCTAGCTAGATGTATAGATGTGTACGTTTTGAGACTTTTGAAGGGAACAAAGATCCCAACCATGCAATGAACTTTGAAGGAAGAGGTTTCTGAAATCCAAAGAAAAATCTGACCATTGCCTGTTCTTGCCTTTGCCAGCCTGCAGATCTACCTGAAGTCTCTCCAAAGCCTTTACTTCTCTACTCCAGGTATAGAGCTTTCTTCTCAACACACTAGAGCTGCTCATTTAAGCCTGACTGGTTCATAAACCTTATTTACTAAACAAGTAGTTTTCCCCCCTCCAAAAGGAATACAGGGTCCACACACCTTGGAAAGAAGAGCATTTCTAGGCCCAGCTGCCTCTACATTTGGTTCACAGTCTACTGAAAGGTATTCCACACCCTCTTCTGCTCAGTCCCCATGGCCTATCTCCTCTCGGTCTATCTCGTCTGGGTGTGCTGTCAAGCTGCCTCCTCTGCCATCGGTCCAAGGGCCGGAAGAAATGGAAAACCACTGCACCAATTCAAGTCCCATCCTTAGTGAACTCTACTTTCCTGCTTACGTTTCTTGTCACTGTCTTTTCTCTGGGTTAAGGCAATAGGTGATTGGCAATCTCCAGACCCTCAAAATCGGGAATAGGGATTTTGTATCCATCTGAAGGTTTGGACCCTCTGCCCGTCTGCAGCCAGGTCTGGGCAGGTGCTGCCCATCCAGAGCTCTGCCATCCCTAATGGTACTTCCATCTCTGGAGGCTAGTCTTAGTTGCATAAGGTAAGAAAACATCCAGACCAGACTCAGTTGCACGATGGACTTCACTAGTAACTACAGAGAGGCTCCATCATTTACCCTCCTCCTTAGGGAAGGTTGGTAGTGGCTGAGAGATTAGACGCCAGAGACAAGCTGCCAAGGTTCAAACCTGAATCTGCCACTTACTTAGCACATCTTAATTTAATATTATCAACACTATCTATCAGAAGGAGGTGGGATTATTACACACAGAGAAGGAAGCCACCCAAAAGATGACCAGTGTGGGTGTTCCACACATCTGTGCCAGGAGGTAGCCAAGATGAAGCTCTAAAAGAACTTGGTTAAAGTCCTAGTTCCCTCCTTAGAATGCTTTGGTTAGTCATGCAAACTGGCTAAGCTTTTGTTTCCTTATTTGCAAAACAGTGAGAAAACTCCCCACTTTACCTCACTAGATGAGAGAACACATAAAAAATCCTTTATCCAATGCTGGAAAAAAAATTACTAAAGTTGAAAATTATTATTACTTGTAGTCCTCAAATATCACACTACTGCCAGTACCAAAACTATCAGTCCCCACTGTGAACACCCTTCAGGACCCAAGCTCAACCATGAGCTGAACCAAAGCTCACACGGGGCACCTTCCTCCCCAGGCTGAGCACCTATCAACAGTCCTCTGTGCTGGCCTGCCCTCGTCCTTCCACACTTCAGAAGAGAGTGAGAAGGGGAGCCGGGAACGCAGACAGAGGTACCATTTAGGGCCGGACTCATACTGGACATCCAGGACAATGAACGGGACTGGAAGCAGCAGAACACACTGCCATGAGCTCGGGGACCCCATTCCTGAGTCCCCTCACGACCGAGTCACATAGCTCTCTAGATACAACATGCTGCATGTTTCTTTTGCCACCCCTTTGCCTCTTGGGTGTTGTTTTCCCCAAGGAAGCCTGTGGGATAGTGTGAGGAGAGCTTAGGAGAAGACAGAAAAGCCTTCAACAGAAAATGTGTCTTGGGCCACAGCCCAGAGACTGACAACTTCACCCAGCTGCTTCCCGAAGGATGAAGTGGAGGCAAGGGAATGGGGTGGTTGTTACAGAGTGGCCTTAGATGGTTCTGGCCAGGCCCATTCAGCCAACAGGGTAGGGGGCTGAGGACTACCACACTTCATGACCAACTCAACAGGATCTAGGGAGAGCTCACTCCCCCATCTCATCCCACTTGCTCAGGTCAGGACAGAACTTGGGAGACAAACATCCTTCTCAATGACCTGGCTGATATGCCCCTGGCCGGTCCCAGAGGCAGTCTTGGGGAGTCTGTGGAGAGCAGGTCTCATAGCTCTCAGGTTAAAACCAGAAAGAATAAGGAGGAGGGGGTCCCAGGTCACCTTAGGAAGAAGTATTTGAACAGATGACAGACCAAGTAGTTCTAAGGTAAGACTAGATCAGTGGGTCCCACTGGGGCTCTTTCCCGGGAGCCCTACCTGACCGAGGCTCACTGCCAGGTGCCTCCGGAAGGGCCTCCACCCCAGCGGGTGCTGACTCAGGTAGGCAGGGCCCCCTCCCTACGCTGGAGGCTTGTATCAGCAGCCTTCCTTCGAGAGGCTCACCTGTGGGGTTCTGCACCCAGGTTGGCCTGAAAGGGCCTCCCTGGGCTGGACAGGGGCCCAGCTGCCAGAGGCAAGAGGGAGGTTCTCCATGGCCAGAGGCAGACTAAGCTTGCTATCTGTGGAGAGCAGTTCCCCTGGGAATAGCCTGGGGGGTGGTTGCAGGACCATGTTCCACCCGCACTGGCACTGTCTCCCGCAGTCCCCAACAGGCTGTGGCGTCTGCTGGTCTACTCTCCTGGTCCTCTTTTCCTAGGCAAGGCCTCCTGGCCATCAAGAGAGAGTGGCCTCGAACTCTGCTCCTGCCTGGCTCCACCAAGCGACTCCTGTAAGATGTACACTCCAAGAGCGAGGGCAGAGTGGACGGCAGGGGACACCCCAGAGTGAAGAGGGGAAAACATACCCGGCTTGAGGAAGGGACAAGGGCTACCAGCGGCTTCCATGCAGCAGCGCCCACAGCAGAACCTGTCGGGCAGCGAGGGCAAAGTACAGGGGCCGGGAAGAGGCAGGCCCAGGGCGGGGGCCGCGGCTCCGCCAGCCACCCTTACTCAGCCGCAGCCGGCGACACCTTCCACCACCTCCTCACTGAAAAGGAGCGAAGCAGCCAGGTCGAGCGGCTCCTGCCTGGGAACCTGGACTGTGTCGCAACCGAAACCACCACTAGCAGAGAGAGAGAGACAGACAGAGACAGAGACAGACTGGATTTGGCAAGAAGAGCCAAAGGGACAAAGCCTGGTGGCTTCACCTTGCAGCCAGGGGCCAGGTGGCCAGGAAGTTAGTGCAGTCGGTCCCAGGGTACTGACTAGGAGCAAGGTGGGGAAAAGAAAAAGGCAGGAGGGAAAACAGAGCAGGAAGGAAGGGACCCAGAGAGAAAGAGGCGGGTTTAGAGCAACTTCCTTCTCCCCTCCCCCTCCCCGGAAGTGGGCTGCCCCACCCGCCCCAAGGTGCTTTACTGGGCAGCAGCTGGTGAAGGGTGCAAGACTCACTGCCGGCGGGCCGGCCTTAGCACACCTGTGCCAGGTGGGACCTGGGCATAGACAGGGCTGGGCAGGCAAAGTGGGACCCACAGTGACCCAGGCCAGCAACCCCCGACTCAAGAATGAAAGGGGTTGGAGGAGTTACACAGAAACCAGCACCCCAGCAGTGGCGAATGGGCCTCCCACTTCCACAAGATTTCACTGCAGAAACACGTCCCTACTGCGTATGACACACCAAGTACCTGAGACAGAATCTCAGGGAATTCAGAGCGCCCCCCCGCCCCCTGCGCCTCTGGAGTTCTAGATAAAGAACTCTGACAGAGAAAGAGCTGTTCAATCCTAAATCTCGTCCAAAAGCTGAGGAAAGCCAACTGTCCCACTGAATCGCTTCCAGCCCGATTCTGGGCATCTTCACTGAGCTTCCCGCCCACCTCCAGGTCTCCATGCACGTGGGGGGCGTGGGGGCTGCAGGACGGCCATCCCTGCTCCCCACATCCTCCTCCGGCTCTGCCCCTGTGGCCTGGGCGTCAGCTCCTGTCAGGAGAAGCCTCATCTGTCCCAGCCTTTCTCCTGGTCCTCGGATCGCTCTCCTTCACCCCAGGATTTTAGATCAGGCTCTTCCCCACGCAGTTACTCTTTGAAGCTCTCACACGCGGTGGCTGCAGCGCTTGCTCTCAAGAGTGACCCAAGGCACCCAGGCACACGCGTCTGGGAGGCCACTCTGGCTGGCCCCTGAGTCACCAAACACCCGGCAGTGCCACTTCCTTCTCATTTTACCCACATCACAGACTTGAGGGTCTGGCAGTGTCCACACCTGACAGAAGGAAAACTGAAGCTCAGAAGTTAGGAGTCTTGCTCTAGGGCCCACAGCCTCTAAGCACTGACACCGACTGGAGCCCAAGTCCTCTGCCCTGAGCTGGGCCCTCTGCTGTTCCGCCATTGCACTTCACATCATTTGCCCTCATTTCCCCCAAAAGAAGGTTGAGCCCCAGGCTCCTCCTCCACAGCCTGGAAGAAGGTGGGAGACTGCATATTCAGGAAAGGGCAGGAGACAACAGGAATGACAGAATTTGGTTAAGGCCTGTGGTGGGTATCTTACCCAAGTGCTTCTGTATCAATCAGCCTCTCCTTCTCCAAGAATACCCCGAAGTGGTAAGACCCTGAGCTCAGCAGAAGAGGGTGTCTGATTCTGAAACCCATGTCCATCTAGGTCTAACTGCTGCTTCCCTCACTGGCAGTCAGAGTCCAAGGGTTCACCCTCCTAGGTCCCAGGGTTCTGCAAGGAGCTCGAAGACTGTTTACTAAATCCTGCTTGTGAAAGGTAGTGTAGGGTTCTGCAAAGTGAGGAAGGCCCAGGTCCTGACCCCACACGGAGACTCTGGGAAGGAGGAGAGAAACTCATGGAATCAGCCTGTACAAACTGCTCTACTTTCCAGCCCTTTCTCCTTGTCTGCATCCAGAGCCTTCCTCACAGCTTTGCATCCTAAACAATGATCACTTTCAACTGCTCAAACCCAGTAAACCAGAAGTAGCTCAGGAAAGTAAGTGCTTATAAGGCTACAATGAGTTATTTACCAGGGAGAAGCTGGTGCAGACCCCCTACCCAAATAACCTGAGATGACTCTACCCAGGGAAGGTCCATAATGCCCTCTGCTGCAGGAAAGAGCCTGGGGCAGAATGAAGCTACTGAAGGGCTGCTCCCTTTTCTGGTGCCTTTCAGTGCCTTCCTGACAGAGAAAACCAACAGAGATGGCAACTTAAGCAGAGCGTCAAAAAACAGAGTGGCTCGCTCCTGCCTTGTTGCCAACAGGCCCACGCACCTCGTCCGAGGGCAGGAAGACCAGCACTGCAGAGAAGAGCCCACTGATCTCCAAGCAGCCACAGGAGAAGCCCCAGCCTGTCTGGGGAGAGAGATCAGAACAGATGGTCACCTCCACCTTACCCCTCTGTCCTGTCTTCAGAGCCACCTGAGACGCCGGCCACTTGACCCAAGTTGGTAGCATCTACTGAGCAACCAGAGTTCGGAAAGCTCCACATTTTACCCCTGAGAATCCACTCGCTCACCTGGTCTGCGGACGCCACCAAACCTCTGGCGAGGACAGCAGCCAAGTTCTGGTTCCTGCCCTCAAGAAACTTAAAAGAACTGTCCAGAGGGTTTTAGAGTGCCGGTCTGCTTACTTTATGAGAGGAGGTCTGGGTCCTGCCTTTGCTGCTTACTAGGATTACTTGACTTCTCAAAGTCTCCGTTCCCTCATTCAGATGATGGGACAGTAAGCGCACCCATTTCACAGGATTAGTGTTAAGGACTGTGTGAGAAAACTTGAGATCTTGTGGACATAGCGCCTGGTGCACTGAAAGGACTTAATGGTGTTTCCCAGGATTTCTCTCTCCAAGTTCAGTTAGGAACAACCTTTCAAGAGCTGCTGCCTGAAAGCACTGGCCTACAAGGCGCAGTAGGGCCCCACAACCCGGCATTCCCTTTGAAACAGGCCAAGTCAGATGTCTGCTATGGCGGGGCTGTCAGGCAGAGGCTGTTTCCTAACAGAAAAGTGTTTCTGCTGAGAGCAGTGAGTAAAGGAGGTGGCAGCCAGGGCTCTTCTGCTGTGGCTCAAAGTGCGGTGATGAGGTCCCACCGGGTCCTGCCTGGACCCTTCCCTTCCTGGCCAGTCCTTAACTCCTTCCTCCCAGAAAAGGCTAGAGCAACTGTCAACATACCAGTACCACATGGTGCCAAGGGCTGGGGGAAGCGCACATTGCCAGCCTTCCACTCCATTCGGCTCCTCCCGTACCAGTGAGTTACTGTAACCATGGAAACCAACAAGTTCCTCCACATCACAGGAGAGCCAGCCTGCCAGCAGCCCAGGGCTCTGGAGGATGGGGTGGGGGTGGGGGTAGGCAGAAGGCAGGATGCAGCAGAAAGGGTTGGCTCACTTTACAGAGGGCTGTGAGGAACCAGTGGGTACTAGCCAGTGGAGGTGAGGTGCCTGGGTCCCCCTCAACTTCCTAATCTTTGACTAATTAGATGTTTTTAGTACATTCTCTGGATTCTGAGCTACTACACCCAGCTGGGTACAGTGTTGGCTCACTTCAGCATGAGTTACTGCGGAACTCTAAGTGGGGTGGTTGATTGTAAAGGGTGGACCCTGTGGAGGCAGATACCCTGGGGTCAAACTCCAGTTCTGCCTCAGTGGTTGCTGGACAGGAACTAGACTAGAACTATGAATGAAGGGCTACTGAGACACTCCCCCCACCCAAAAAAAGTGAGTATTCCACTGGCTACAATGCCTCCCAAATCCATTTGTTCCAAGAGCATGCTCTAGCTGGGAGTAACTGCTCCCTTTCCTGGACTCTTAACTAGGCACTTTATCTATACCTGTTTATCACTTTTGACTCAGTGTCCCTGTGCCTTAACTCTCTCAAGCTCAGAAAGGTCAGGCACAGTGTCTCATTCACCTTCATGTGCCCTCGGTCCCCAGCAGCGCCAGGCACCCAGCTGACACATGGTAAGATACTTGGCGAGTAAAAGCAGCACAACTCTTTGATCCTTAAAGCTTTCCCCTCTCAGGCAACAGAGGCCTTTATTTCTTAAGGGGAAGACAGGAAAGAAGACTGAAGCCTGTTGCCACAGGGCCCATTTCCCCTTTTCAGGCACTCCTCGCCCTTGGAGGTGGGTTGTTTATGAACAGCTGTCTGTCCTTCCTACTAAACTACAAAGGGAGGGAGTGACCTTGAGAGCCAGAGTCACTTCTGCCACAGCAGACACATGCAGGGAGGCACTGAAGTAATACACATGTACAAATAAGTGAGAAAACGTGTCGGGCATCTTCATGACAGGCCCATATATAATCCACACCAGTGTGCCCTGCAAACAGCCAAGGGGGACAGTGGGTCTCAGGACTCTCCTCCAAAGGACTGATGGCAGCTACAGAAAGTAACTGCAGGAACATGTTTTCCCAGGTGGCAAGGAGTAGGTGTTTTCTCCTGACACAAAGTGCAAGGGAAGGGTGAACCAAGGGGAACTGAGGCAGTGTTGGCATGCAGGCACGATGGTGACCAGCAGGGCATCCGCTTGCAAGGCCATGCCTAAGCCTTCCTTTCATCACAGAAGGGGAACCCTCGTCTCTGAACCTCCTGTTGCCTGTGACAACAGCCAGGCCCTCTCTGCCTCTCAACATTCACTCCTTCCACTGCTGTGCCATCTAAACTACTGTCTTGATGTGACCATGCAAAGCAACCCCAAGCTGCTCTGAGCACTACTGCGTAGAGGAAGTGATAGTGACCTGTGTTTGAGTCGTAGGAAACACTTATTTACCATTGCCTACACCTAGAACTTTGCTTTAGTATTTCCTGTCTGGGGAAAAAAACCAAAACAAACCAACCCACAAGCCCCTGTCGACGACCTTAGGGTACCCCCCCCCCATATTTCACCCTTACACACCTGCCTCTTGGCCTTCTGCATACATCTTCATTCTTTCTCCTAATCACCCCCGTCAACCCCCAAATGCCTCCTGGTACAGAAAAGCAAAGGAACTAAAAACGGCAGCTGGGGAGCTCGGTTGACTCACCCAGCATAATCATCTCCTCCCCAGAATCTCCCATCTCCTCCCGGGGTTCTTGCCAACACAAAGTAAAAAAGCACGAGATCGTTAAAAAAAAATCCCTCTCTCAGCGTTTATGCAACAGCCTTTCTACCTG